TCCTGCTGATCTCTTAGCACTGGCGACACATTCATCAAACGGTGTGACCTCTCATTCATGCAAGCTATACTGAAATCGAACAAGCAATCCACTGTTGACAAAGAGAAGCTACAGGACAAAGACTTCAGCTGTAAACTGTGAATCTTTTCCCTCTTTCTCTCCTCCCTGTCTCCCTAATCCTGCTTCTTAGTTCAGCATGTGTGTGTGTGTGTGCGCGTGCGCGCGCACTTCAGTTGAACCTGAGCAAAAGTTAAAAGTCCTCTTTCTGTGTGTATGGGGTCTTGACTCCCCTGTGCAAGAATGTGCACACTTAAATGTGTGTTGTGAGACAGAGATGCAGCATGCTGCTCAGTTGGACAGAGGAGGATATAACAGGAGCTGAACTGACTGACTTGCAAGCCGTTTGATTGCTGCTAAGAATACTAACACGACACACACATATACAGTATATTGCCTATCTACAAATGTGTACACACACAGCACAACACACTCACATAAACATCCGTCTGCGATGACACACAAACAGCAGACGCCACACCTCTCCACAGCATCCATCTATCAGGATCTCAGCTGTTTGAATGATTCACTCTGAAAGGTGCCAGAACACAGCCATCTTCAATCATACACACGCACACACTCCCTTTCAGGTGCACACACAAATACACACACACACACACACACAAGAATGGAGCTTAAAGAAAAAGGCATTTCACTTTAAACCTCTGCTGCATTAGGGCTTGGGGGTACAGTGTGATACCAAGGCAGAGCTGTCAGATATTAAAAATGCATGTGAAGGGCCTGCAGGCTCACCAGCAAAGCTCATCTGAGACCAATCTGATATCAGACTTTGTTGAAGGAATACATTTAGTGGTGCAACTGAAGAATCTTGGACAGTAAATGTTTTAATTCACTCACAATTATACATATTATTGTTGCCATTGCAGTTTCTGATCTTAAATCATTCTTAAGATTAAGAATAATTTCTCTTACCATCTCTATTAAATGTAGTTTTCTCACATTATCCCTATACTGGTGTGAACAGTTTTGCACCAGCTCATACACCATGATCCTTGCCACAGCCTAGCGGGGAAGCCCAAAGGTTCATCCTCCAGCTCTCTGAAAAAGGTCCATTTGAAAAGATGTTTGGCCACGACTTTCTGCTTAATGAAGTGCAAGGTACAGGGAGATGAAAAACTATTCTGGCTATTTCAGCTATTTCTGTTTCTCTGCTTCTGTAAAGATGACTGCTTACAGGTGCACTGACAGCACAGATATGCGGGACACACACACTATCCATCCATACCTTGGTTACAAGAGGTTCGGTGTCCTCCAGGATAGAGATGAAAGGAATCTCCAGAAAAGAAGAGAGGAACTCCACCTGGATCAGCTCTTCCCTGGAACGGGGAAAAGCGAGCACCGCGGACACCCCCCTGACCACCAGGTCCTGGCAAGCGCTACGGGACAACGACTCCGGGTCCCCTGCCGCGGGTGATCGAGCCACCACCTCCAGGCTCAGGTTGTAGGGGAGCAGAGGTGGTGTTTGGGATGTAGTCGTAGAGGAGTCTGCTCCTCCGCTCTGGTGCCGGAGGCTAGCCAGGGCGCGGTTGAGCGCGTTTTGTATTCGTGCCGGCTGGCGGGTCGGCAAGAGCGCACCGAGGCGCACGG